AAGAAAATGTCCGAAATCATGTAACAAATCAAGAAATTAGCTATATAGTAGTTTACACTCTTGTAACTTTCTGGAACATGGCACGCATCAAGACAAAGACAAGACAAAATTCTGTGTTAGATCTTAAGTGTCTCTGGAATGAGTGGAACCGCTTGTTGAAAAACAAGAATCACAAAAGTGATGCTGGCGGAAAACATGTTAACTTCTTGGCCAAGTTGGATAGTCTTTTTGATATTGGATCACCTGATGTTATACAGGAAATCATGAAATCCAGGCTACCGACTGCCCAAAAGAAAGATGATGATGTTGCATTCTATTTAGATTAAAAAAAGACAGAAAGGCGACCATGGACAGGCATGACAAAATCATTGAGATTAAAGCAAAAATGAAAGAAGTCAGATATAATCGGAAAATCATACTTAGAGATGAAGAAAAAGAAAGAGTAGAAAAAGAAGGTAGACAGGATGATCAAGATGATGAAGACAGAATATTAATGAAAATATTGCTGTTGCTGAAGTAGATATTGGTTTAGTATGGGACTTGAACTATGAACCTCCAATGAATAGACGATCAGAATTTGTTACTCTTCACCTCCCGAAAAGAATTATGCAATGCGAGGAAATCACTTCTGCAGCAGACAGGCTGAAATTGTCTGATAATAAAACAACTATGATTGTGTCTGCTATAATTAAATGGTAGAAACTTGGACGATTTTGATATCTCCAGATCGACATCTCGTCGAACTAGAATAATAAATCGACAGAGGATTGCTGAGAGTGGTATAGATAATGTGAGGCTCAACCCACCCCAGTTTGGTGCCCTTCACTGGGACGGAAAATTGCTAAAAGACATACTAGACATGCAACATGAACAGTTAGCTGTGTCGGGTGCTCCAGAATACAGTGAGGTAAAATTGCTTGGTGTTCCCGTTCTCGTTGATTCAAAAGGACAGATTCAAGCAAATGCAACATTTGATCTCCTAGAAGCTCTAAGCAACAATGTTGTGGCATTGGTATTTAATACCACTGCCAGTAATAGTGGCATCCACAATGGTGCTGCTAAATTGATTGAAGAAAACTTAGGTCGAAAACTTGCCTGTCGACATCATATTTTTGAAATCTTTGTCGGAGCATGTTGGAAGAAATTATTTGGAAACATTTTTGGTCCAGAGAATAAATTCTTTGCTGAATTTAAAACTGCTTGGCCAGCATTGGATAAACAGTTGCCAATCAAAACTTTAGCTGTCGAAGGCACCTGGTTGCAAAACCTCAAAGAACAGACCATACATCATTTGACAAATCTACTTGCTAATGAAGATGCTACAACATTTCCAAGAGATGACTATTGTGAATGTGCTGAGAACACACTGATCATCTTTGGGCAAACTCGACCGCGGGGTGTACACTTTCTTAAACCAGGAGCTATCCACCAAGCTTGGTGGATGGCATGTAACATTTATGTGAACAAAATGTTAATGTTTTCTAAACAATTGCCTTATGATCAGAGGATGACAACCAAACTTTTTAGAATGAACAGATATCTCTCTCTTTTCCACACACCAGCTCGGACAAAAGCTAGCATTGGTGCTGATGCACCTATGAATGACCTGCAATTCATCCATGACATAATGGACTACAAAGAAATAGACAAGGAAGTTGCTGATGTCATTCTTTCTAAAATAACCAATCATTGATGGTATTTGACAGAAGAGGTATTTCCATTTGCTTTCTTCAACAAACATGTTAGTTCTACTGTGAAAAAAGATATGGCAGCCAAACTCTTGGAAATTCCAGTACCGGAAAATTTTCGTCTTGGTAAGCCAGTTTATCGTCAAATCACTCATCAAACAGGTTTGTCAAATTTTCTGGGACCTGAATCTCACTCATTGTTCAGCATTCTTGGCATCAATACAGATTGGCTTGCTAAACCAAATGAACAGTGGACAGAGCAACCAGGATATAAAGAAGCTGAAAAATTTGTTCGTATTAAACTGATTTCAGAATTTGCCATCATCATAACCAGTGATCAAGAACAAAGAGAATGGTTGCTGCAGGGCGTTGAAAATCACAGGCAGCAATATCCTGATTTTGGCAAAAAAACTCTTGGACAATGAAACAACATTAATAACATTCAGAAAGACAGTCTTAATTTTAGTTTTGGGGTTCCCATCTGATATTTTGACTATAAATGTTAACCAAAAAT